AGAAGAGAACACAGCATTCGTCCCTGCCCCGGCTGGTAAATCAATTTCGTCGAAGGACGATCCGAGAGTCCGAGAATTGCGGCGGGGTCAACGAGCCGCGCAGCGGCCGCATTAATTAAGTAAACGCTGCTCCTATTGCCGACCTCTTTCAACGGCTAATCGCTTTCGACGCTCGCGCGATTATGTTCGCAGCCTCTTCCACCATTTTCAGCCTCGAAATTTATTAACAGAAATTACTTTACTTCCAGCAACTTCGTCAACTGTTGGATTAGTGGTTTGTAACTGATAGTAAATCGTCGATGGCCCAGGATGGAATTTTCGTTTGACCGAATAGAAGTATTCTTCGTTAAAAAATGGACTATGGACTTTTTGTGCATTTATCATTCATCAAAATCTGTAAGTGTGTGAAACACCCGAAGTATTGACATTCTCATTACAATATTTAATAGGTAATAATAATTTTCTGTCTAGACTTCATCTTTCTAGAAACATGGAACTGCGTAAACGTTCGTTGATACACAACACATAGTCTAGTTGCAAATTAGTCATTTGAGTCAGTGATCATTATTAGAACAGATATTCTATAATGATCTGGAATCACCAATATTTTTGTACAAATTGGATTGCATGCATATATTGATACAATTTAATTTTAGCTCTCAATGTCTATCTGCTTCAGCATATATTTGTCATAATTATATGTAACAAGTTCAATTCAAAACAATGCCAGAAATCTGCTACTCTCGTGCAAGATCAGGAAACTTTCTGAATTTCCAATGAGACTGATAAAGGCTCAGGTAAGATTCTCATTTGAAATTATTGAAATTAATATTAAAAAAATTTTAATTTTCCTCAGTATGGGATGTGTTGACCGCAAGTGGCTGATCATGGGAACCCCTCTGGTCAGTTATTGATGAACAAAAATTAAATCTGACAAGATTTACATCGTTGTTGCAATTCTGTTGTGTACCAGAAGATGATCGCGCTCTAGGAAAGATCCACGTGTGATGCTTCGAGCAATACATTACACCAGGGACATCGGTTGCACATAGTGTGGTCTCTTACATAAGTCAAAGGAAAAGTTAGACAAAGAAGCATAGCCGACTGGATACAGTGTGTTTTCATTTGGACACCGGTTTTCATCAGCAAGCGAAACGCAGGAGTGACCGAGTCTCACCACGAATCAAACCAACACATACAATTAGTTCAACGATAAACGTCGACAGACTGACGACGCTGTTAAGCACGCGTTTGTTTCCTACGTCATCGGGACAATCACTTACCAATTTGGAAGATGCTTGACACTCGAATCTGGCAGTGTTCTTTCTTTCTTTCTTAATTCTAGGAGGTGCACTCACTGCCAAGGTCCAACCGAGCCAGAAGGAACTGCGAACGACGTTTCGTCAACGTGGCCGTCAGTCCAATTAATGGAAAGGTTCACGCCGGTTCCCTCTAGCACGAGGTTGGAAACGCGAGAACACGATATCGAAACGCGAGGGCATTTAACAGGCCTAAACCATCCACGTCCGCAACGCTGTAAAACACACGGAAATCACGTCTCAGTTCACAAGCAATGCGACGATGCAATCAGCAAGAAGAAGATTCCAGCCACTGATGAAAGACGAGTCCATAAACCGTTGCCGTTTTCACGAAACTCGAGTACTCGGAATGGCACTGAGCTTGCACCAGCCTTTGACCAGTCGATGACTTTTTCACAGCCGGGAGTTCTCTCCTGCTGCGTGTGGCGAAATCGTCTTCCGGGCCGTGAGACAGAAGAATGGACTAGAAGAAGCTGCTGCAGCGGCACGCTGCACACCCAGGACGCACCACGCAAGTTCCAGCTGACGTCCTGGCGGCGAATCGAAGAAGAGGGGAGGAATACGAGGCAGCCGAGCGTGGATTTAGATCGGCCCTCGTCGCCTCCGAGGCTCGTCACGTTCCTCCCGACGATGTCGGCGATTCATTCGACAGTAACAGCCCCCGTCAGCGACCGACAGCTCTCAGAACATTTCGTGAATGCCGGGCATCCTTCAATTCCCTTTGGATTGAAGACGAGGAGGGATTTTGTTTCGTCGAGATTCTGACGGGTCAAGGGTTAATCTTTTACAGCCTCTTCTACGATGATAGAACTCGAGTAACATACACGTGAAAGATGCAAAGGTAACTCGTTACTTTATCTTCCT